AGTCTACAAAGCTTTGACCTAAAAATTTCAGAATTTCCCCAGGACATTGTTAGAAGTGAAAAGTTGGATTTTATCTCATGGGTAGTATCCTGACTGGGAAGGGGGAAAAGAACAGCAAACCAACAGTGACAGAAAAGAATATGGTTGATAGGAGCTTTTGACATGCTAGCAGAAGTCACAGAGGTGCATTTCTCATTGCTTCTGTGATGATGCATATCACCAGGTAGTTTTTTTTCTTATGTTAATGGTTTAAAACAGGTAGATCTAAAACTCCCAAATGATCTAGTACAATCAAATGTAACTGAGCGTTGTGTTCAGTTGTGTTTATTTCCAAAGCTCTGAGAAAGTACTGTGGGGATTTATTACTTTCTTTTGCCTTTGTAAATAGCCAATAATTCACAGAGGACTGTAATAGCCTCTGGATGATAGGGAGAAGTACACTGGTTGCAAGCAGGAGATGGGATGTCCCAGCTTGGGTTTCTTTTACTGCAGTTTTTAGATTTGATGGTCTATTAAGACTGAATATGATTTGATTGATGCTGAATACACACATAGGAATTCAAGTGATTATGTGGTACCCAGGTACATACAGCAAGCAGGACCATTTGTGTTGCCAGTAACAAGTGATAGTAAAGCTTGTACTGTATTGTGTATTATTTTTAGTAGCAATTCTGCTAATAGAGCAGTAGGAGCTTGCCGAAGAATGACATTAAAACAATCTTGCTTTTCACTTTCTTCTGAAACAAGTTTAACTCCTGGTCCAGGTTAGATCAGTCCCATTTGCAGTCTCTTGCTGAGAGAGAGCAGAACCAAGGTGTGTGCACCTTCTGTAGAGCTTGTACTGTATTGTGTATTATTTTTAGTAGCAATTCTGCTAATAGAGCAGTAGGAGCTTGCCGAAGAATGACATTAAAACAATCTTGCTTTTCACTTTCTTCTGAAACAAGTTTAACTCCTGGTCCAGGTTAGATCAGTCCCATTTGCAGTCTCTTGCTGAGAGAGAGCAGAACCAAGGTGTGTGCACCTTCTGTAGACTAAAAAATCTTGCTGAGAGAGAGCAGAACCAAGGTGCGTGCACTTTCTGTAGGCTAAAAAATTCTGTGTAGCTTGCTACTTCTGTATCTAGGAGCAGGTCCTTTATTCCCACAATGCAGCATGTATTAAGAGAGCTCAGATGCAGGATAGAGTTTAGAAATCCCTCCGTGCCATCAGGAAAAGACTTAAAAAAGCCCCCCACAGGCCTCATTATTCTGTCTTCTTGGCCAGCATCCTTTCCATCATTGGGATTCTTGATGCCTCAGCGGAGACTATGTGGAAATGGTACATTTTTCTGGAGAATATCCTTAGGCATGTTGTGAATTTCTGCTTTTCAGTTTTCCCCAGTATCCTTTGGCAGAAACTCTCTACCATGTCTGGGGACAGATAGCAACTATATGGAGTCATCTGAGCACTTTACATAGATCACCTGTACATGAGCATCCCCCTTTATCCTTAGACTCATTAGAGCTTTCTGAGCCCTAGTTGAAAAGCGCTAACTCCCATCAATCTCACCCTTTAAATGTGTTTTGGACATCCCATGTCAGTGTCTAACTTACAAGACTCATTCAGAGGCCTGCAGATAGTAGAGCATTCTGCAGCACATCAGCCACCTTGCAGCTGTTAGATGTGTGTGTGTAATGCTCTAGGTTCTGTGCTCACCCAGGCTCATGAAAATGCCAGGAGAGCTGGGCTGTTCATCCAGGCAGCCCTCAGAAAACAGAGTTGGTTTAAACAGACATTTGGTCAAATGTTGCATGTAGCTCAAGTGGCTATTCAGGCCCTTACACTTGAAAGACTTTGTAGGTGCTAACTAACCTTTTTGTGGAGTTGAGGGCTTTCTCTTGTAAGTTTCAAGAACTGCAAATATTCTTTAATATCACAGTCCATAAACCCCAAATCAGCTTTGACCTGCATACGTTTTTCTCGCTGACAATGAAAATTCTTCATTAAAATATGTTGCTCATTAAAGTGAGAGCTGCGTAACTGCCATGGGACAAAAGATATTTTTTAATGGCTATAATAACTAAGCGAGACCTGAAGCCGCAAGTATTAGATTAGAGTTTTTTGTCTGAATGGAAAGTGTTGAGCCTCCTAATGTTAAGCTTTGCTGAAAACCTGACTTCTAGAGACCAATCCCCATCCTGTTTTCTGTCTTTTCCAACTCTCATCACAATGACCTTTGTCATTTTGAGTCTAATTTTATCACCAAAACCTCTGTTCTTTCTAATAAGCTACAGACTGTACAGAAGTGATGTCCTAGTTTATTACAGATTATTTGATGCTGTATGACCATGCAAATCTTAAAATTACTATCATAAAAGCTCGAGTGCCACAAATATTTATTGTTTTTGCCCTCAGAAGTAACCCATTGAAATGCCTATTAAATTGTCCTCTGGTCTGCAGGGCTGCCATCCCATGGCCCTGGAGAAATGGCAGTTCAATTGCTTGTTCAAAAATGTCCCTCAGAAGCCCCAGGCTGACTGTTTCATAGTGATCAGAATTCAGTGAGGTGAAGCAAGTAAAATGAGAGTATGACCATGGTAGGTGGTATATGGGTAAGAATTGATGGTACTTCATCTAGCATTCTTTTTCGTCCTTGTGAAGGTAATACAGATAGTCTGGAAGGGGAATGGGTTTCTTGGAGAAGGCTTTCCTCAAGGACAGAGGAGGAAACTTGAGTGAGACAGGGCAGAAGTGTTTTTTGAGGCATCAGAAACAGTTCTTTTCAGTTCATCTTTTCTTTTCATGGAGGGGAATGGAGAGCCTCTCTTAGTATTTTCTCTTCCCAAGCAATCCCAAAGGGCCTGTGGTTTGCAGAATGCTCTGCTTCCAGTCCTTAGGCTTGTGTTTTCACTTAAATCTTTTCACATTTAATATTGCCAAATGAAAACAAAGCTGAAGAGGAAAAGAGAAAGCAACAAAACAATGTCTGAGTTTACCCTGTAACAAATTCAGGAAGACTTTTTTCCCCTTTCTCATTAATGATCTTCCTCCAAGGAAGTGTGAGTGAATTAATTAACTTTTGTGGAACTACTTGATGAGTACAGCATGTCTACAAGTTTGGAATAAAACTACATTCCGAAGCTGTCCTCAAGAGCAGATGTTTATTCTGTTTAGCTGTGAAATTGTAGGGATTTTTTCTTAGCACATCTTGTCAAATCACTTGACTGGTTGCATTAATGCCAAATGAAAGACAATAATAAATATATTTTGAGTTATAAAGATTACAGTGCTGTAAGACACCATGAAAATGGAAATTTCTTCGCATATTTAAAAATAATGTTTGAAGTTAAATACCACTGATTTAGACTAGAAAACTAGTTATTTTCCCTGTCTTTTTATTTTACAAAAATATATTATTTTGAAGTAATTTGATAGAGTTTAATTTATATTTTCAGGCTGTAGTGAAAGACGTTTCGGCTTCCTGCCCTTATTAAAGTAGTTTTTCTGGACCACGAATTCCATATTAACCACAAAAAGGAATGTGCATGTCACTTATGACTTTCCTGGTATTCTTTGTTTCTGTATTTTGCTCTTAGGTTTCCTCAGCACATTGTTAGACCCAGCCTTGGCAAGAAGGTGATTGATATGGCTCTTTGTGCCCTGGCTAAATAGCTAAACATAGAGTGTATTATGTCTGCACTCAGGGAAAAAATGAAATGCAATTAAATTCATTTCAACTTCAGTAACATGACATTTCTGTTTCTTTCATGTCAGCCTTTATTCTCTTCTATAATCAGATTTTGTAACCCTTTTTAGAATGTCTCTTCACTTCAGTAATCACTAAATAGGATGCTTGTGTTGCAAGTTAATTAGAAATTCTTGTGTTCCTGGGTTGACTTTTCCCATATCTTTGGTTTGGTTTCCACATCTTCTGAGAAAGTACATTTCACCATCCACTGAGCACAAGGCACAAGGTCCATGTCCACTCTTGAATCCTCTGGGTTTAGCTTTGCAAAGGATGTTTTGTGTTCCCATTTGGAAACTGAAGTCTTTCTTAAAATATTTCAGGCAATAGGAAGGACTGTATATTAGTATAGGTTTTTCATCACGGCAGAGAAAACTCCTGGGAAACGATCATTCACCCTTTGTGTTGACAAAATCCATGATGGTTAACACAGCCTTTCACAGCAAGTGCCAGAAAGAATGCAGGAAAATGATGCATGCGGGAGATGAAAAGGAGAGGACAAAAGATCTTCATCATCCAGCTCTTCATTCATAATTTTAAATTACAAGATACACAGTAATAATGCTTCGTTTTAGGAGTAAGCATTTGCAGAGTCCAGTGAAGAATTCAAAGAAATATTGAGGATGAGTCTGAATTTACCTTAAAGACTATTGTAAGTAGGTTTCAAAAGTCATCTTTAGGTTCAGTGAGAGTTATTATTTCCTAATGAAAAATACATAAGAAACTCCCATTAAAATAAACTTTGAAGGGGAATACCTATCATACTTGCAGATTTCCTTGGTTACATAGGCATTATTGTTATGCTATTAATTTCTTCTTTGTTTTAGCTCCAATATCCCATCCCCCAGCCTTATCTCCCCATCCCTATCCACCCTGTACTGTTGTTTCCTATAATTAGTGAAGATACACATCTGTCTTCAGGCTACCACCTAATCTCTAAAGCCATATGGGTAAATGGAATATAATTATAAATAAATATTTGGTAGAAACTGAGCCTTCTGCACATGGTTGTATTGCTCTTATTCTTTCAAAGCAGGCAAATTGAATCTATGATATAGCAGGGCTTGGAGCCTGGGTTTAGTCCTTGCAAAGTAAATATTTTTCAGATGGAAATTTCATTGTGTTAAATTTGGGTGGGAATTACACTAGTTTGGGAGGAATTCTGACACAATGTTACCGCAATATGCAAGCACCCTGCATATTGTGAAGAAATCACCTGTGCTTATTATGCAAAATATTAACAGAGGTCATTTTTTGTCCCCCTCTTTTTCAGTTATTTTTATTTCAGTTGCTGCGAGGACTGTCTTACATCCACCAGCGTTACATTTTGCACAGGGACCTGAAACCACAGAATCTTCTGATCAGTGACACGGGGGAGTTAAAGCTGGCAGACTTTGGTAGGCAAGCAGTTAATTACAAGTCTCTTATAATGTTGTAGGAATGTCAGACAGATGGTTCCATTGATTTCTCTTCCCCCCCACCCTATTCCTTAGACACACCTTCTTCATTGTAGATAATTGCACATTTTTCTCCTGAGTGAAGAAATTGATTATGGTCAACAAAATGCTTGATTAAAAGGGAGCAAGTGAAAAATGAATACATACTCCAGTTCTCTCAAGGAAGATAATGCTGAAAGTGTTTCAGTTTTATTTACCATGAGACCTCTGAATTAGAATTAAAAACCTTTAAAAATTAGAAATACAGAGAGACATGAGGAAATACAGACTGTATGAAAAGCACTATCACATTATGGAAGCAGCTCTAGGGTCAGCTCTAGGATTGTGGATCTGGATTAACTTTCATTAAACAGTCATTGAAAGAGACTGAAGGACACAAGAAAAAGTACTCCTAAAGAATAAAGGACACTAGGATCACCTGGACTGCTTTCAGTATCCATTAGTTCTTTATGGGGAAGCCTAATGTAGAGTATAAAGTTGGGATAAATTGTCCACTGAAATGTTAGCGCTTTGCCTGTTTTTTGTTGGGGGTTTTTTTGAGTCACTTTCTAGTGGTTACATTGGGGCAAGTACTCTTTCCTCTGAAAACCGTTGTGAATGCAGATGTGGAAAATGGCAATATTTTTCTTTAGTGGTTTTTACAAAATGTTGTAGGAATTTCTTTCTTTCCTGTAGGCCAGCTTCTCAGTTACTGATTCCAGCAAAACTTCTGAAGTAAGCTGAAAATGTGACCTATTGGCTTTTTAAAAATGTCTTTTATTTTTATGACTGCTATCCACATCGCACTTCACGTTTCATGCAGCAGCAGTACTGAGGGAACCTTACGTGCTAATTGGCAATTTCACTGTTAATGTAGTCATGAGGTTTTAGTCTTTTAATTAGTGTTGCTGCAATTAACAGCTCAGTATGTATGTGCTGTGCTGGAGGAGGGAACAGGACTTCAGGTGGGCACAGTCCACAAGAACTCAATTGGCCTTTGGATTGTAAGGCAATTAGAGAAATAGTATTAGAAGCAATTATTATCTGGTTTTACATACCATTTTTTCAAAACTTGCTGGTTTTCAAAATATATGCTAAAAAAATCCATTCCTTCATGTTGCATTTTACTATGATCTTTCATCTCTTAAGTACATGAAATGGGTGAATCATTAAGTGTTCTTGTAGTGAAATATGAGTTGGTTCTTTGCTGAAGGTGCTGTGCTTTTGAGATTAATAGTTTTGTTGTATCATTTATATGTATAAATAACTGGGAACTCATCTGACTTCCAAGCAACTCTGTATTATAGATCTTTCAGGAGATTGTGATGATGGTTCTCTAGCTTGGGTCGATGCTGAAAACTCTGTAAAAGATCTCACAAACTCTTTCTTATGTAAAATGTTTCCTATGGTGTGGCAGTGGGTTGTTGAAGCTCTATGGCTTGTGCGACTGAGGAGAGGGAGACTGCAAACTTTTCAGCTGTGTTTTTAAGAAAAAAAGAAAACAACCCACCTTACACTATCCCTGTTAAATGTGTTGCTGGAGATGTGAACCAGTCAATGAAATATTCAGCTCAGACATAAGTTGACCTCTCTCTGGTTGGTGCCTGATGTTGTCACAGAGCAGAGTAAAGGGGGGGACTCTTGTTTGTGCCTGCTGTTAGTAGGAAATGTAGCTATCACTTCGGGTGAAATTATTGCCTCATTGTGGCACCATGCTAAATATCCCCGTGATGACATCAAAGGCAGGATTTTCACTGCTTCAGGTTGGCAGAAGTTTTAGGTTGACCATTGTGTATTATTTTGAGAGAGAGACTAGAAATGTGTAAGTGCAGCCAAAACCAAAGTATTAGGCATGTGAATGTATAATATTGTGCAGAGGATATTTTTTTCTCTTGTAAGTTTGTCTTGACCTAACAGAAACATCTGCATAACCTACTCTTATACACAGCGAGAAGATTACGTCTCTCCCTTTTTTTTTTTTTAAGCTAGATTTTCTTTCATGGCTCATGACCTCATAAAATTGAAAACCAGATGGGTTAGATTTCTCTTCAGAGAACCAAGATGAAAAATTAGAAGCGATGAGGTTAAAGTCAGAAGGGTTATGACCTCTTTCACTGGAAGCATAAGAAATGAGAGCACACCCGTGTGCTCTCTCTGTGCCCCCCATGCATATTTACTCATTTAAATGTTGTATTATTACAGCCCATATTCCACCTTGCCAGTATGAAAGACTCCTCTTAAACAACATGTAAAATACAGTCCTGTTTCTCTTTATGTTTTTCACCCACGAATGACTAATTCGCAATAATGTGCTTGGAAAGGAAGTCGGTTTAGATGTGTGTTTGATTAATTACATGAGGAGCAGTATGGAAATTAGAAAGATGGTTGCTTTGCTTTCAAATGCACTCAAGGCAGAAGAGAACCTATCAAGAAATCAGTTTCTGTCAGACATAGGATTGACTTTGCTAACACAATAAATATAAAATCCTAGAGCAAAGGCCTTTTAGTCTCCAAGGACAAGACCTTCAGATTTTGTTTTCATAAGTTTGCAAAAAAATCAACATCATGGCTGAAGTTTTTCATTTGGCATCAGGCTTATTTAATCTCTTCACCGTAGGATATCAAATACTTAAAAGCAGGCTGTTGTGGATCATAGTTCTTGAATAAACAAGGTAAAAGAAAGGCTATTCCTGTCTGCCATTGCATTGCACTGTGGCTGAAGTGAAATCTTTGAATAACTGTGGGCATGTGTTTTTCTATAGCATGGCTCCCAGACATAGATACTCCACTGTGTGGGAGTGTCTTTGTTCAGAGGAACAGTGGTTTGCTTTTCTGCTCATTGTGCTCTAGCTGCTAGGAAATGAACATTTATGAGAAGACTCAGTGGTCAAATGAAAAGGGAGAACAGAATATAAAAGCTTTATTAAATTAAAAATGGATGAGCTATAAAAAATGGTTTTCTCGAGAAGATGTAATAAGGGAGACTACATTTTGAATAATTGTTGCTATGAAAAATAGTCCTTGAAGACCATACCTGCTTTTTTCTTCCCAATCTAATTAACATTCCAGAGGAAATTAAAGTATATTAGGAATTCTTCTGATGAAAAGAAGTGCAAGAATTACTTTTGATCCTGTGGTGTGAATTTGGCTAACTGTCTACGGGTTTGTTTATTCTCCCCTGCACATATGTCTGTCTTCAGTAGAGAGAAAGTATTTTAAACCGTTAATGAGTAGCACCATAAGCAATTTGTCTCAGTCTTCAACAGAGAGACTGGTTATCCTCAGGGCCACCAGCCTCCCAAGCTGGTAGACAAGGACAGGGAGCAGAACAGACCCCCTGCAATCCAGGAGGAAGTAGTTAGTGTGACCTGCTGTGCCACTTAGACACTCTTAAATCTGTGGTATAAGGATGGAAATGTTCACTATGAGTGTACTTCAGTGTTGGAGAAGTCCAGAGAGGTGGGGAAACCTCTCTTTGCTTCACTGATTGGACTAAGTCTTGTGCCTAGTTCAACCTACCAGAGGCAAATTCTCCTTCTTGTGTGGTTCTATGGCTCAGTAAATACCATGCTTGTTTTGTATTGGTTTTGAATGATTTGGTATTGTAATTTAGCTATTGCAAATACTGATATAAATCAAGATTGGCTAATTAGTTATGTTTGCATGCAGACTGCCACACTTAATAAAATCCAGCACAAAGCTCCTAAATAGCTGATGGTAATCAGGTACAAGGTGGGTCCCACCTTCTGTGTGGGAATTTCCAGAAAGGTTTTACTCTTTTTGTTCCTTGTTTCTTATTCTCTGTTCCAAAATATCCACTAACAGCCTAATATTCTGACTCTTCCAGGAACAGTGTGACCTTTAATCTGATCATAGTATGATTACCCTTGTATAGACTTTAGTGAGAATAATTTTTTTGCTTTCTGGGTTGAAAAATACATAGCTATACTTGTTATTAGATAATTTCAAATAAAACATTTATATAGCTTTCGAGGTGACATCACCTTTTGATGCATTAAGAAAATCATCATGGCATGTGTGTAGAGACCAAAACATTTAGACTTGACTAACATGTGAGACAGTGAAAATGCTTCTGATGCAGTGAGAGGAACTGTCCAAGTCACTTGTCTTTCTTTATCTGTGAGCTGTTCAACCTGCTGCTGGGGTTTGTTTTTCAGGAGATTGCTTGTTAGTGAATCTTCCCTGCAGCCACCTTTCCCTCTCACCTTCTGTGGTATGCCTGCAAGAGAAGTGAACTGCATAAAGTGGGGGGGATGAGAAGTCTGAAGACCTGTTTGGTCTCTGTTTTGGATTGTGCAGTTATTGTAAGTGCACAGATCTTCTGTGTAATCACATCTTTTAATTGGGATGCCTTTCTTTTTGGTATATATACTGACTCTATGCTATGGCTCCAAGACAGGGTGTATAAACTATGCAGGCACCTGAGAGGCAGTAGTGCAAAATATGATTTCAAAGTGTGAAACAGGAGGTCTCAGTGGTATTGTTAGCTTGACTACAGTTTGCAAAGATAGAAGAACATGGTGACTGATAATTTTTATTTTTTTTTAAAGACTTGAATAGAGATTTCCCTTCCCTCCCATTCCCTGCCAAATTTTTGTTACTTTTAGTTCTTTAACACTGCAACAAATTCTAGCGTGGCAAGATGAGTGAGGAAGTGCATCAGGAGCTTGGTGCTTCAATGCTTTGCTGCTTGTTCCTGCAGTCAGAGGATTGGTCTTTCTTATCTGTGGGAGAGGGCTTTGGAGAGAAAAACAACATGAAAATCTTCATGAAAACGTCTTTCTTTTACTCTCTCAAATAGCACTGACCCTGAAGCTTTTCCTGACAGCTTTTTGTTGTCTTTGGGGATCTCTTTGGATGAGTAAGGAGCTGCAGGAGGTCTGCATTATGGTAGAATTCCTGCCTTAAGCTTTTGGAGTTTTGTTGCTATAAAGGCCTGT